AGAGACAAGACTGTCCGTATGAAGCGAAGTCGGCCTAATGGGAGCTTATATAGTCGCTTCCTACCGTAGCCGCATGCGACGTGCCAACCGCTAAGAGATGCTATCTATGTTTATGATTGCGTGGGAGGCAAACGTGCTGTGAAAATGGCTTAAGATCTTTCTCAGCCTATGTTTGTACTTATCTGCCCGCTTTATCTGCTCAGTTTCGCAGGGAATGCAAGCCTTATCCATGATATTTTCCCAAGGCTCTTATCTATGTATGCAATCTCACTGTAAATTTTCTCACACCCCCTCTATGTTTATAGTGGTACTGTACTGATATGTTATCTGTAATTTTCCCAGTAAAAGCTATGTCGCGTCAATCTATGTGTGTGATACTGGGGAAAAAGATGATCCCAAAGACTTGAGTTTTAGCTATTTTCTTTGATCTAACTTGAACGTTGAATACAGAAAATGCAAACCAAAGGGAAAACGCAGAAAGATGTGGTGGAGCGTTTGGACCGCTGTACTAGTTGTTTCTAGAAAGTAATACGCGCTTTGGACCAATTTCAAAAGAATCGCTCGGTCAATTCCCAGTTGTAAGTTATGCATGAGTGAAAGGTGGCCTGCAAAGCTAAAAAGGGTTTGGGAAAGGAACTAAGAAATACAGTATTTTTGTCATGGGCTGCTATTCCTTCTCCAACTTCAAGCTACAAGTACTGGGGAAGGGTTTCTCCTACGACAGACGCCGGAGACAGCCCGGGATTACTATGGTGTTAAGACGACAAGAAAAATAGGAATAAATGCGAAAGGCTTACCGCTGCTCTGGATGTGGATATATTTCAAACATTAGAAAACAATGAAAAACATTTGTGATCGAACCGTAGAAGGACGGATTCACTGAGAGATTGTCCCGAAGTTGGAAGAGGCGAACGACTATACCCAGGAATCCAAAAAAGTGTGAGATTTATTGCATTTTTCTGAATTCCTGGGCAGAATCGTTGCGTCTACCGGTCCCAGGTCTATTAGGGCAGAGGAGAATACCAGGGGAATGAATGTAAAAATGATGAGTGAATGTAAAAATGTAAAAAGAAAGAGGGTGAGTTTACGATATGAATGTTATTGTGGGCATGGACGCGAACACGCGGGAATTTAACAACTAATGTTAAAAAGATCGGCGAGGACAATGCTAGAAAAGAAAAAGTGGACTTTTTACTAAGTAAAAGAAAATGTGAAAAGGAGAGTTGGAGGAGAAAGGGTTGAGAAGCAGCGGAAAATATTATAAAAGATATGGTAGCTATATAGCAAAAAGTTTATGAGAACTGCATGTGTATAGAAAATAGGGGGTTTTCAAACCAGGACAAAGATTATTTGAAAAAACAGTGAGAAAAAAACCAGCGAAAAACAAACTCAAATGTGGTGTGTTTTCAAATATCTAGAAAGGGAGAGAAAAAAAAACTTCAAAAATTGCAAAAAAAACTTTCAAAGAGGAGAAAAAATTTTATAATGGTAAAGCTGTTATTTTCGGAGAGGGACGCGAACACGCGTAGACTTACTAGATATCACTTATGTATAGCAATAAATGACGAATAAGCTTCAAAAAGGACTTTTTCTTAGTAAAATGAAAAAAATGAGGAAACAAGATTACAACACCACAAAAACTTCAAAATTAATGTAAACGAAATAGAAAATAATATGATGAAATGACTCACCATCGAAATGCAGGCGGCTTGAGCTGGCGAGAAGTGCGCAGAGGGCATGCGTTATCAAGCTTACGATCATGCCGGCTCATGCTAGACACTAGATCGATTGAATATCTCGCATACAAGGCTGCCGCTGATGAGGGAACAAATGGAAAAATACATTACTTGCTCAGATAAGGCGAAAATAACTCTGGACAGGCAAAAAACATAGAGGATTGCAAATTTCGGACTAAATTGACAATATATCCCATATATACCTGATTTATCATCTTTTTGCGGGCAGGCTTCAGAAATACGAGTTGCCTGTCCCCACGGGTACCTAAATTGAGGGCAAATGATCGATCAACACTTAGCATGCAAACTTGCTCGAGCTTACCCGTACACCCTCAAGCGGATGTCGCCCCGCGAAACTACCTCGAGGCAACTCTACTGGACTCCATCAAGACACAATTCCCAGCCGCCGGCAACACAAAACTCACCTCCACTTTGGGCGAACGCCTAGCCAAAACATGAGTCCCTTAATCCGCGAGGAAACACAACCTCAACCCGGGGAGAACGCAGGATACCTTCCTGAACACGCTGGGCACAACATTATAAACCACACTCACCTCCTTGGCGTTCTATTTCCACTCGGTCCGGACAAACCATCACTAAGTGCGCACATCACATTCAGCATAAAACTGCTGACTACAAGAAACTCCAGCAGAAGAAAACTGCTGAATCCCGGGAATAAACTAGTCGAGAAAAGAAAATTGTGTTTTATCATTTTAGTTCAAAAGTTTATTGAGTTACCAGAATTTCACGAGATCTGTGCGCCTAGATCAGGGAAAAGGTAACTGAAGAACAAAACTATCACAACTGTCTTTTCTCGAAAAATTCGTAATACCGACTGGGAACCCAACAGGGTAAAGCGTAGTAAACTAAAAAAAACTACCTCAAGGCTTTCTTCCCTCCATGTCGGTGGAACCACTCGCTGCTACCACTCAACGTGGCGCCGTGGAAGCGGCTTAGGCTGGTAGACCCGAACACTAGCTGTACTAAGAGTTCATCTGTTATAACATGAAATAGATATCAAGCAACACAGTAAGACGGTCAACTAGCACAACGTGGATCACTAAGTTTCTGATCGGGCAGGCATCAGCCTATGGTAGCGGAGGGGTAGCTCGGGCAGCCAGTCGGTCCCCGGTTGCTAGCTCGACTCCCTTTTATCGGCCTTGCGGGCTCGACCACGCCTTGAGCTCGATCACGCCCTGAACAGATTGATCATAACTTCTCGCATTCCTACTTATGTTTACATTCCTACAGAATCCTACAGGCTTACGCCGCTACCGTTGCTTACAACCCTACAAGAGGTGGCTTACTAGGCCTACTCTTAATTTCCACGGGGCAATCGCTGACCCCGGGCTTGGAGCGGGGAGGGACCGCCTAGCGACCAGAAGAAGCCAGACGGCGGAGGATCTGGCGTGGCCAGTTCTTAGCTAGGCATCCGGCCGAAACCGGAAACGTCGAACTCCTTCACAGCTTGGGAGGCCCTACCAGAGTATACACTCGGCTATGCATCGCATTCGACACCCAGTGTCACCCCCACGCCACGATGAGGCGACCGACCATTGCTTGATGTATAGATTGCCAAAAAGACGAATTACTACTATCCGTTCTAATCGGGATCACGCCGGGGCGTAGGCGTAAAGCCACGCGCTAGCGGCGGTGCGTTGCACTATACGTGTGAGTGCGTAAAGCCTAAAGAGTCGAAGAAAATAAATATAGGACGGACAGGTCCTATCACGTTTCCTGTAACTAATTTTGAACGTGACGCAAAACCATGGCGTCATCACGCCCCAATCATAGCCTGATCTTACTGGAATAGATGTATGCTTGAGAAGTGAAGAAGGAATTTGAGTAAGAAATATAATGATGTATTTTTTATAACAGCCTTGTATATCAGGCGCTAGCAGAATTCTCAGTTGGAGCCAAACCATTGACCTAGTACGCGCCCACATTGCTATGGTTTCGTGTTGTATCGCGGTTCGATGCAACAAATTGTGTCAGACCTTACTGTCCTCTTCTCATTCTCTTTGATCTCTCAGGCAGTGCTCTGCCCGTGCATATACGGTGCTCAAAAACAGCTTTAGGCAAGTGTGAGGGTAAGGAGAATGACGTGATTTGCAACAGTGCCCTTCCTGACAAAGTTTCTGTATAGGCATCGCACAACTTCTGAAGCCAGAAAACCGCTCTAGAAGCCGAACATTACCGTTTTTTGGGTTGTCCTCCCATCAATCTAAATTTGATGCTTCCCCACCCATCAATTTGAACTGGGAGATAGAGTGCACATGTGTACATTACATACTCTTCCTTTTCAGTTGCCCGAGCTGTGGCCGCGCGAGGGCAGCGGTCAGACAGCTAGCACAGCTTTGTTTTGGTTTTCTTTCCTCAATCATTTTTAATTCATTAATCTTCAGCCCATACAGACAAATGTACAGGTTTAATATTTTTGATATAACAAGCTGGACGCGGCACTCTCTTTTTTTTCGAAAAAATTTCAGTGCGCGTTTGCGATAAGTTTTGGACGCACTTCCTTATCATTTGTCAAGTAGTCCTCTATTTTGCTGCGTTTGTCGAAGTAGTCGATATCATTGGAGGAGCTTTGCATCAGCATTTCGGCAGCAAAAGAAGATAAACCACTCGAACACTTGCAAGTGCGCCGCAGAAAGGCATCAAATATCATTTCTTTCAGAAAGGAGATACTCATAAAAAACATATGTAAGAAAGAAAAAGAATAAATGCAGAAAGGCGCGAGAACAAAAACAATACGTGCAAGCAAAAAAGCAACCTTCAGAATCTCTGATTGTTCAAAATTCCTTCCAGCACCTCCGTTGGCGTTATGTCGGCCGCGGGACATTGCTGACTAGGACGGCGGTGCTTCAGGTGCTTCATTGCCAGCATACGCTGGCAACTTTGGACGGAGCCTAATAAACCGAAAGTTTAATGAGAACTCTGCATCGTAACCTTACCGGCTCTGCTTCCATACGTTTGAAATCAAAGTCGAAAATAGCCGTTTTTCAACATTTTTCGCATTCTTCAAGCTGCATTTCCGGAATCAGCGCACAGGATAAGCAGATAGGCTGTGATTTTTTTGATAAATGTTTTGTCCTGGCGTGCCTCTATGCTGCGAGCACATGATCTTAGGCTAAAACTCCGCTTCCTATTATGGAAAAGCTGGAGACATGCGCCCTTTTAAACCGATAGGAGTTTAGCCAAGAAGTCAAGTTGATGCACATAGATTATCGTCTACATTTTCAAAGGTATTGTGGCTTTCAGAAGCACTTCCTGGTTTGGATCAACTCAACAGAATAGAAAGGATTGAACATGGTTCACTGGTGTTTCAGCATAACATAGGTTTTAAGAGCATATGGTTTTTGAACAATCTAGAAGAAATATGGCATCCACAATCAAGAGGTAGGCATGCTTGCATAAAAACTGAGTCAATCATACTCACTCTGTGCAATATGTTTCCATACAGCGTGTGAAAAAAAGCGTTTCTTTACTGTAAGAGAAAATCTGTATGTTTCAATGATCTTTCTCATAAATAACCGCCATGAGTGGGCTGCCATGCGATTTTGGGCAAACGGGCACCGGGAAAATAGTTCGCTGATTTTTTGCGGTCCACGTGCAGAAATTTGGAAGGATGCGGCCAATTTTTAGACTAATTCTCGGAGAACAAGCTCGGTTTTTCTATAGATTAGTTGCAACGCAGTGGCCACATTCTCACGGACTTTACGCGAGAATATGCAAAATTATTAAAGGCCGCACGGTCCTTTGTGGAGGACCGCACAGCCCGTACTCAGACAATCGTCGAGGGCAGGCGGGCGCTGGAAAATATGCGTAGCTGATATTTTGCATTCCGCTTGCAAATTCCAGGAAAATGTTCAGCGAGTTTTTGAGAGACCGCTTGTTGAATCTTTTTTTTGCTCTTATTTTTTACAGATATATTGCTGAATCTCCGAGGAATCGAGAACTCAGCAAGCGGCGTCCCGAAAAGTTCTGATTGCCTTCCAAAAAATCCGCGAGCGGGGTGTGAGAAATCAGCCATCCATTTTTCCGGTGCCCGCCTGCCCCCGGCGATTGTCTGAGTAGGTACCTTTCGCTAAGAGAAGTACCGCAAACTCGGGTAATATAACCATCGATGACACCTCTTTTCACATAGAGCCTCACTTTTGCTCTGCGTACGTCCGAAACGCGTAAAAAGAGTCCGAGCGCCTGCTGAAAAGTCGGCCAGCGCTCGCTGAAAGAGATTAATTGACAAGCGCTTGCAGAAAATTTTGTATTGCTGCCCGCTGGCAGAACACGGAAGTACCGCTCGCTGAAGCTTTCGCCAAGCTCCAAAATTTTGCTGGCCGCTTGCAGAAATGCGCGAGTTTGCAGACCGCCTGCTCGCGGCGATTGAGCTGGTATTGAATGAGTTGATACTCGGCTTATGACCTCATCATTCTTACAATGTTCTATCAAGACCATATGATAACGGGCTAAGGCTGTTTACGCGCGCGCGCGTTTGTGTGTGTTGTGTGTGCGTATGTGTGGGTGTATGTGTTTGTGTGTGTGTGTGTGTGCTCAGACATTCGTGGTTAACTCACGCAGTAGATCCGCCCACGAAACGAGGTACCGCGAAAAAATGAGTACTGCTGCGGTGAACTTGTTTTTGTCGTGACTTTCGGGCTAATCGCGATACGAAAAATAAGGCGGGCGAAACTCATAACGCTCGTGTCGACTTCCGATTAATTTGCGATTTCAAATATACGCAGCCAAATCAAGTGCGTCAGATCGCGCGATTTGAACTAAGCTCATTTTTTTCGGCGTCGCCTCCGCTATTCAGACTGCATTGAATCGCTTTTTTCGCATTTTCTTTATTGTGTCCGTATTGTAAATGTTTTTTTTTCATATCGTATCTTGTTTTCTAAGCTTTGATGCAAACTTTTTTGCTGTTGACTTTCTAGCACGACGTACACGGGTCGAGGCACGCCACCACCTAGTCTTTTTATTGAGTCAAGGATCACTACTCAAGGAACTTCTACCCCGCCTTTAGAGTGCAAGTAAGCCTAGCCTCGTTGCGGTCGCGTGAGTTCATACTTTTTACACATCATTCTTTGGCTTTCACGGCGAGCAGTAGTTCAAATTGAGCCTATCAACAATCTGTTTTGCATTAGAGCAAAAGCTGAAAATTGCCGGTTTTTTCCTCTGCCAATTCCCATCTTTCTCTGCTTTAAGTGTGTATCTCCCTCTCTAAATAGTCCTCCTATTTTCTAAATAATCTTTCTTCACCTTGGTTAACAAATACAAGCACCCCCTTCTGCTTCTTCTTCATCATGAAATTTCTCATGTTTTTTGAAGAAGGAGTTGAGTTTCATTTGCATTGATCAAATATTACGTAATCATTCTGGTGATGAGGATAGTTGTATTTAAGTAGCAAGAAAATCAAAAAAGTTTTTGTATTCAGTTCCGTAAACTTCAAAAAAAGTGTAATTTTTGTTTTTGAGTCATTGCATCAAATGGATCCATAGCTTCTGCTGTTAGTGTAACTGACAAGGGAGGTCCGCTGGTCAAAGTGGTCTTTTCACATGAGATTGATACGGCTCTGAAGAGCATCGAACGTTGACTCCAAATCTGTCTTCACTATTCTGTCAATCGCTATTGAACGCCGAGTTATGAGCATTTCTCGGGTTGAAAAATTAAATGCGTAATTAGAGCAAAACTCGTCAGAATTGCTCAAATGGTCCAGTGTCGATCATCAGACCACTTCAATCAAAGAATACCTTTTGTTCAAAACATTTGCTTTACACTGCTCTATTTAAGGAGTAGAAAGACCGTAACATTTGATTTTACCTAAATTATATAGGGTATTTGAAGAGTTTCTGGTTTCAAGTACTTCAATTGCAAACTCTAACTTAATTTTTGCTATATGTGTTCGCGTAACCTACAAACCACTGAATCAACAAAGAAAAAATGTTTGCTTCAAAATGCTCTGAAAAAATTTAAAAGTAAACAGTTTTCTCAGTTTATTTATAGAAGCGAAAGATTATTTATAGAAGCGAAAGAGTGGTTTTGCTACCATTTTTTCAACTCTGAAAACGGTAACGACTCTAAACATTTGTTCCTTCCGCTAAATTACAGCAGATTGTTGTGTAAATTCGCGTTCAAAAATTTTTTAGCCTTTGGAAATCTTTGGAATTCTCAAATGTATTTGTAGCAAACAGCGTGTATTTGTAGTATAACTCTCTGGCTCTCATTGTGTGCGCTTTCAAGAATTTTGCAAACTATAAAAATTTTGAAGGTGGATTGATTGGCGACAAATTGAGAAACTGTGTATCTTGATTTCAAAGTGCGGTATTTTGAAAAGAACTTTCGCCTTTGACAACGAGAGTATAAAAAGAAACTAAAAAAGGGCTTCTAGACATTGTAGAAAGCTTCCTGTGACATATGTTTTCTTTTTTAACAGGCATTTCAAGGAAGGAGGCGTAAAAAGCTATACTGATGTTTCAACCTAATACATAGAAAAAACCACAGAAAAACTGATTTTCACTGCAATGATGGTTTTTAGAGTTGGTGGGCACAATACAAAAAGCACGTCAAAATTTAGATTGGAAGTACTTTAGGCCAAGAGCTTTCAAACACCCTGTACTTCATTTTTCACACCAAAAATCAACACTTTATAATAACGGGTTAGGAATTGTTTACGCGCGTGTGTGTGTGTGTGTGTGTGTGTGTGTGTGTGTGTGTGTGTGTGTGTGTGTGTGTGTGTGTGTGTGTGTGTGTGTGTGTGTGTGTGTGTGTGTGTGTGTGTGTGTGTGTGTGTGTGTGTGTGTGTGTGTGTGTGTGTGTGTGTGTGTGTGTGTGTGTGTGTGTGTGTGTGTGTGTGTGTGTGTGTGTGTGTGTGTGTGTGTGTGTGTGTGTGTGTGTGTGTGTGTGTGTGTGTGTGTGTGTGTGTGTGTGTGTGTGTGTGTGTGTGTGTGTGTGTGTGTGTGTAGCGTAGCGGCGTAGCGCGGTGAGTTCCAGTGCTACGATTTCACGAGAATGAGTAAGGCACACAGATAGAGAGTCGGTGCGAACCTCTGCGAAACATGACACACACGCAACATGGTTCACTCACAACTCGGCTGCAGAGGCGCTTGGCAGATTGAAATCAAAGCCGGTAGTAATCTGGTCGAAACTCCGATTTAGAGCAGTTTTGTACTGCTACTTGCGGAGCCGCTATGGTTGTTGAGGAGCTACCACACGCTTCATCTAAAACACTGCCACTAGGTCGGGAGTCGAAGTTCCTTGCTCAGCTCCATGTGCCTACTACTAGACCGTTAGACCACGACCTTAGCAGCGTGGCCATTCTGCCGCCATGAGCTCTCGTTGCTTACATCCTAAGTGTTCAGGCACGTCAAGAGGCTTGGTGCCTCTTCGCTCTAGTGGATTTACTAAAATACCTATACGACAGTGGCATACCGAGGGGGAGAGGGGTCCCTCCCCCCCCCCCCGCCAAGAATGGGTCGCGAGATTCAAAGTTAATGGAATGTGTTATAAAAATCTGCAGGCAATTTGTTTTTACTTGTAAATAATTGAAGTAATTTGCAAATGTTTGAAAGTTCAAGTTAGTCCTGTAAAAAAAATTTTTTCGGGGGTGCGGCTGCCGGCACACCTCTTTTTTTTCTAAAATTTTGGGGTCAGAAGCCGCAAAAATTTTGGAAAGCATCCAAAAAAATTTTCGGAGTGCGTAGACGCCACGCCCCTTCATCCGAAATTTTTTTGTCCCCCCTCCCCCCGAGCGGAAATCTGGGTACGCCATTGCTATACGTACTCTCCCTTCCCATTCTCAACCCTCACTTACGATATCATCTTCTATTCACAAAATACCAATCTTAGAAGAATTGATTATCCCCAGCTGCATATCTAAATAGGATAACTAGAGAAGGTGGCTGCTTTATTGACAAAACATAATTTAAGTATCAAAATTCAGCTAAAAGCTCTCGAACTCGAATATGTGTAAAATGTAACATGTGTGATAAGAAACGCATCATGAATCATCTACATGCCTCTATCATTTTGATAATACAATCGGCTGGCTGATGAGCTTTTTTAATAAAAAAAATTTCGTTCATTCGACAACTCGGAAGAATAAAATATTTGAATATTCAAATATGCAAGGAATTTCAAAAGAAAGTTATTCAACTACGCAAATATTGAGAAGTTTGGAAGTTCTTGTTCGAATACTCGGATCGACTATTGCGATTAAATACTCCAAGATTGCATGTGAGTATTCGAATATTTATTGCATTCGACATTCGATGCTATTCAGTTGTTCGTTAATTCAATAATCGTTCGATCTAGTTCGTTTAATCGAATATTCGAAAGTTCGGATTTCGGAATGTGCCCATATTCGAATATTCGAACTCGAATAGTATAAAAATCGGAAAAAG